ATTCCTTTGTTTAGATCAGCCTCGGTTCCTTGGGATCCGTGGAAATGCGTGGCACTGTGAAGGGGGTCTGTTGCTCGGTCTGCAGACGACTTTGCTGTAATTACTGCTGAGCATTCGTCATTTCATTCTGACAAATTCCTCCCTTTCTGTTAATCTGGGTCGAATGCTTTCATTAAGATGAAGACTTTGGCAGGTGATCACTCGGCAGTACATGCTTTTCCCCTCCAACTATAACTTTTATTATCTCATTTTCCTGTAGGTGGATTGGAATGCTTGCTCTTTACACAGTTCATAAGGGGCGGTTTAACTGCCCTGGGGGAGGATTGCTGCACAGCTACTTGCTTGTCCTCCTCATTCTCCTGGCTTCTGTAATATGTGCATTATCTGCTCTTGTATATATCAGTATGCAAGGTAAATAGTTAATATTTTATATTTAATATTTATCTCATAGGATTGTAATATATACGGGTTTTTTAATCTGGAGCTGACATTAAAAAAAAAAAGCAAAAAATTCACATGCTTTAATGGTAGTCAAACTTGAGAAACTCTCTGTCAGCATTAATATATTTGCTTTAATGGTATTACCTCTGTTAGTTAGGAATCTAAAATAATAAATGGCACAATAGCTTAGTGCAGCTAATGTTCATACATTCATAGAATCACTTTGGTTGGGAAAGACCTTTCTGTGAAGAAATTTTTCCTAATATCTAGCCTAAACCTGCCCTGGTGCAACTTCAAACCATTCCCCCTCGTCCTATCGTCTGTTACCAGGGAGAAGAGGCCGACCCCCACCCCACTACACCCTCCTGTCAGGCAGTTGTAGAGGGTGATCAGGTCTCCCCTCAGCCTCCTCTTCTCCAGACTAAATGACCCCAGTTCCCTCAGCTGCTCCTCGTTAAGACTTGTGCTCCAGACCCCTCACCAGCTTGGTTGCTCTCCTCTGGACGTGTTCCAGCAATGCAACATCTTTCTTGTAGTGAGGAGCCCAAAACTGAACACAGTGTTCAAGGTGCAGCCTCACCAGCACCGGGTACAGGGCAATGATGATATGTTCATTGCCACCAGAGCATCTTGAAAACTTCCTCTACGTTCACCATCAATACATGACCTCAAATGGAACACCACGCAACCTCTCAGCCAGGAATTTAGGGGAATTTATCCAAAATCAATTTCTCATCTGAAGTATTGTGTTAGCTTTGCCTTGCATAGGCAGATTTAGTCATACCTTATGAAAGCTATTTAGGTGCAGTGGGCTGCTTGGGGGGAGAAAACATAGCAACATAATCCATATAAATGTTCTAGTAAACTAACACAATGAGCACTGTTAATTAGAACAGCACTTGCAGCTTGAAGTGAATGGCTGAACAGAAGTAAGCAATGCAGCTTCTCATCATTTGTAGAAATGCTTCATTTAGGGTGAAAACATGCTAGGAAAGCTTTTTTCCTGGTGAGGCACCTCATTATCAAAGTAATGCTAGGAAGATTAATTTGAAATACATGTATGGTCTCTGGAGTAATAAGTGAGACCCCACAATTTCTAATATATTGGTTCTCTCAACACACTGTTAATAAAAAGAGCGTTTAAATTATTTAAGTGGAAAGAATCATAAAGCTTGCATGAAGAGAAGGTATGACAGAGCGGAGATGTGGATGGCAGTCCCGGCCTTGAATCTAACCACTGGTTTTCCTACAGTTTCCAGAGGAGCGAAAGGAAGGCTAGCCAAGTTATGCTATTTATATTTATATCAAAGTTGAGGAGGTGAGAGATGTAACTGTAAATAGAGAGAAAAGAGCCTTGTTTGCTATAAAAGTACAGCTACAAGGCCATTATAACTAAGAATTGGAAGAATTCTGAAGCTGAATTTCCAAGCAAATTAATGATGAGATGTCTTGGACTGTGGTTATGATGCATGGATTTGGGATCAATGGTTCTTGCACCACCCCTTGCACTGTACTGATCTGGTGTTAGTGATGCCAGTGGTGAACTTGACTGGAGAGCTCATGCACTGGGTTGTGGTGCTGGTAAAGGAAATAAGTTGTTTTCAGAAACCACAGTTCCATCTGATTGTGTCTGTGTAAGCAACCATGCTGCTGTAGTACAGGCTACAACCTGGGAATGGGAAAAAATGACCACTGGATCAAGGACTTTTTTAAATAGCTTTGCCGCTGGATGTGAACCACAGCTTTACAACAGGAAAATAGTTTCCAAAGTTGGTTTTGTTCTGCAGTGTTTTAAGCCTTTACAAATTATCTTGCCTACACTCGAGTACGCACACCCCACTGCTTCGTTACTGTGTGATCAACAAACTGGTTTAAGGAGCTGAGCTGGACAAAAATTACTCCCTTTTTTATTGCCTGAGAGTGCTAAAAGGAGGAGGTTATTAGTAACCTAACAATACATAAAATAGTCTAAGAAGTATTTGTCCTGGTAATGGTCCTGCTTTTGTTCTCCTAAATAAAAATATGAATTTACTATTTAGCAAATCAGTATACAGAACTTCATTGTAGCCCAGCAATATAGCGTCTAAAAATGAAATATTCCAGCCAACTAAAAGCTAAATAGAATAATAATAAAAGCAGGCACCGTAGTCATAAGGAACTGTAGGTGTGCCAGCGCTCCAGTATGCCCTTTTGGCACAGCAGTACTGCCTCAAGTTCACTGCAGAACTGCCTCTGACTGGAGAGTGATTTTGGATTTTGGTAGGTAGAATCTAAGAATCACAGCTATAAACCCATGGTTTTTCTTTTCTCAGATTCAGTGACAGCATGCTATTAGTATGAGAATACTTTATAGTTTCAGTTAAGTTTCTTAGTTTCTGTAAAGCCCAGAAAGTTCATATATCTGGGTAGGATTTTATGTACTTAAGATGCATTCATAAATACTTCTTGTTTTAAATTCTCCCTGTAATTTCAGGAACAATTTCTAATCCAGGCCCAAGAAAATCGCTTCCCAAGCTACTTTATACTCGCCTACTTCTCTTTTTGCCTGAATTCATCTGGGCTGTTGTAGGAGCTGTATGGGTGTCAGACAGCAGTGTGCACTGTGAGAAGACTGTGATAAATGCCATCATTGGGACAGTTATTGCAAGGTAAATGTGCCTTCCCCAAAATCTAAGCTTGATAGTGTACGCGAAATGGAAAATACTGCTTACACAGGGTTTATATGTGTTTATTGAAGGCTTTTCCAGCAGTTGGAGACTTTGATATTTCTTATAAATTATTGTGGTTTCTCATAGAAGGGTTTTCATTGTGAAAGGAGAAGAATTTTTAAGTCTAGACAGCTAGAATGAGTTGGTATTCATCCCTAAACAAGCTGAAACTACTTGCCTTGAGAAAGCATGTGCTAGAGTGAAGGAAAGGAGGTGGAGATTGGAAGGGGTAAGAGGGATAGATGGGAATGTGGAAAACTGGATAAATGTGTAAGTAGATCACTTAACTGGTAGTGAAAAACAGAGCCTTCACACCTCTGGGTTGCTATTTGAAAAGCACAGGGCTGCGATTTTGAGTTTGATGCCCTTCGTGAAATGAGCTGACAGCCTTGTTCTTGTGCCTGGTGGATTGAAAGCCCGATGACAAAACGTGGACCTTTAAGACAGTAACAGATGGTGTTCAATACAGTGTTTCATACCTAACTTTGATTTGTCTGTCAAGATCTATAGTTGTGTGTTCTTGCATACTTGTCAGAAGTATCTGGCTTCGCAGTCTTTTTATCCCACTTCCTTCTGTTTTGCAGCTGGGTTATCATCATCTTTACCATCGTTGGAGTTGTTATCGTCTTTGATCCGCTTGGGGGCAAAAAGACATTTTACCTCACCGATAGTATAAATCGGAACCTGGAAAGCAGTCAGTCAGGGCAGTTGCTATATAATGTGAAGAACACTGCCACCAGAGTCTGGGAAAAGAGAATCAGGTTACTGTGTTGTTGTATTGTGCAAGATGATGACCATCGAGTGGCTTTTACAAGCATCGCAGAGCTTTTCCGCACCTACTTTTCAGTAAGATGGGAAGCTTTTTTATGTTCTGTTTTGACTAACTCTGAATTTTGAGACATTGCAACACGCACGTACCTTTGTTCAGCCAGAGGTCCCAGCTACCCTGTGCCTTGAAATCAGGTTTTGAATACGCCAATTTCAAAATTAAAGGTGACTCTCATATAAGACATACAACACTGATTTTTCCCTCCCTTTAACAGAGGTTTCTTTCCCTTCACAAGTGAGAAGGGCTGTGGGAAAACAGTATTCTTTCTCCTTAGGTGAGTGTCTAGTCAGGAGAACAAGGGTGAATTTCTTTTCCTCAAGGTGTGAAGATCGAGGCATTTTTCCTACTGACGATAAGTAAGGAGTCATACCCATAGCAAAGAATTGGACTACTTTCTGACTATTAAAAATGAGCCCCACAGTGTGTTAAGGCAGTCTGCCCATTCTGAGCCACTTCCGAGGATGTACCAGACTGGAGTGCCCACATGCAGGAAGTTACTTTTTGGAAACAGAGAGCATCTGCCAAATCGGAGTCTGCATAGTGTTTACTTAACTCAAATTTATGTCACCTACTGCTCGGGCAGTCGTAGTTCAATGTTGACTTTGAAATCTGTTCATGATTTCAAGACTACTCATTCTTGTTTATTAAGCGGTGCTTGGGCATGCTGATTTATAGCTACACCCTACTCAGTGGTTTATAGAGCAAAGGGAGTAAGTCATATGGAGAGATGACTGCCCCAGACAGCTGAATAAAAACCCTTCAGCCTTCTCCTGTGTAACATTATTCTTAGATGGTCTCGGTATAGAGGACTTTTCACATGGAGCTTTTCACGTAGTGGTGTCAAACAGTGATCAATAATGTCTGGATCATTATTTGCTATATGGCTGAGCAGGTCCTCTGTTGGGTATTTTGTTAAGTGATGAAATTCGTGTGTAGAATTGTCATCAGTCTTATCGAAGAAAACGTTCGATATGTACAAAAGGGGTGGGAGGTTAGACGCTGCCATGACCTGGTTCTCCAACGCACATTGTCTCCGAGTGAAATGTATTTATGTAACCTGAAATAACACCAATTCCATGTGCGTTTTCTTATGAGTTTTGCCACGTTGAGGTGTGGGATGGTTTTAAGTGCTCTTTCATTTCTTCATACAGGACACTGATCTGGTGCCAAGTGACATAGCAGCTGGTTTGATTCTGCTCCATCAAGAGCAAGATAAAATGGAAAGTTGCCCAAAAGAGCCTGAAGAAGTCCTGTGTCATTCTCCATCAACTCTTGTGGTAAGATAGTGTTTTTGCAGCCTCTGGTGCAATCTAATTGAAAAGCAATTCTTTGTGCAAGTTTTTTTGTTTGTGTTCTTTTAACAAAATTAAACACTACTATAAAAATTCACCACAATTTAAATTATTAATAAAAGCAGTGAAAATATGTTGATGAATTTGCAGTCAAAACATTTGTCTGCTTTTGCATAAGTAGAACTTAGATATGAATGGGGAATTAAGTGCAAAGAGGAACCATTTAGGATGTTTGATCGTTGTTGAAGAGCTGGGAAAGAAAGGGAACAGAGAGAAAAATTTACTATCTGCATAGAACTGAAAAGCTAGTCTTTAAGTGTTGTGGTCTGTTTAAACTGTGTCTGCTGCAAATATCCAGACAAGAAGCAAAAATAGCATCTTTTAAATGCTTGCAGATGATGGGTTACAGTTTGTTAATTGATTTTTGCTAGTCTTCTATGGTAAAGTGCCTTTGTAAATTATTTGAACTTCTTTTGGTCTGTGTTTCATAGTAGTATATAATTCTGCTTCAACCAGTGCATTTCTATCAAATCCCTTTCGAATCCAGCCAATATGATGGGGTCGTGCTTTAAAAGCCCTTACCAGAGAGCTCTGCTACAGGCTCTTCAGCCGTTCCTTTGACATCCTTAAGTAACATGTTTGGAGTGAATGTTGGTTTCAGTATTGAGCTTATCAGTGTATAAGTATTGGAAGAGACTAAGTTATTGAGAGCTTTTCAAGACTCTTGAGCTGTGCAGCTATACAAACAAACACAGACTTTTTCCTGGAATATGAGTGGCTATTTTTAGTTCCTCTTAGACCTTGAGGTGTTCCTTTTGCATAGTGAGTATTTCATCATGCCTTGATTTTTCACTAGTCTTGTGTTCAGGTTTTATTCTGGGGCTGCCTAACACACCTATCTTGCTCTCTCTCCTTCCTTTTCTTTCCCCATGTCCTTTCAGACCGATGATTTGGATGTCGAGCTGGAGAATGCTGCTCACTATATGCTGTTTGCTGCAGCTGCTTATGGCTGGCCCTACTACATATACACCAACCCGTTTACTGCACTTTGTAAGCTCAGTGGTGACTGGTAGGTTCAATCAAGAGCTTAAAACCACATAGCTTCCTCCTATTTAACTGGCATTAGCAGAAATAAAATAGTTTCAATGGCAGTATTTTTGTTACATTAAATTATATCGCTCTTGGGAGTACATGAACTTGACTGGAAGAGTTATCTTTCACAGATTGAAATATGAAAGTAGAAACAAAATTCCAACATCTTTCCACTCTCAGAAACAGAATAGCTTTTTTTTTTGAAGAAAAGCTTGTGATTGAGAAAAACAAAACTCATTTAGCAAAATGACAAAGGAAGAATTGGAATTAAACCAAACACATTTTAAAATGAGGCTTTTTAGAGCTACCTTTTGGGCACGTATGTATATATAGAAATAAAAGCGTAGCAACAGTTTTCTCTGCCTTAAAGGAATTAGCAGAAGTTACCTGTCCCTCCAGGCTCCATTTTACTCTCTTTGCCCACTTTACTCAAAAAAATGCTTATAGTCTGTATTGAAGTATGCATAATGGTGTGTGGGATTCCTGTATATTTAAGTGACCACTGCTGTTTGTGACTGTAGCCATGATTTTCTTAATTAGTAACATGAAATTATTTAACCCACTGAAATATAAACGACTTGGAAAAAAATTGCATAATACAATAGGTAAAACATGAGATAAGCCTGCTGTACAGAATTTGTTTTGAATTTCCTTTTTGCTTGTTTGTATTTTCTGTCATTGGCCTGTAGTTGTAAGAATTCTTTTCTAACTGAATTGTTTGGTCTGCTGATGGTCCTGTAGCAATGGTGTATTTGCCAGTCCTTGATTGTGCGCAGAGGCAGCATCTCATATCAAACTACTGGTAGTATTGGGGAAAAGAAAAATTAAATTAAAAAAAAAAAAAGAGCATTTGATTCCTGGCAGAAATCCTTCTGCAAATGTAACTGAGTTTGATTCCTTGAAAGGAAATCTAAAAAATTTGAACATGAAAGTTTTTCTCTTCTGTGTTTGTTAGTTGCGGAAATAGACCAACAGATTCTGATATAACTGGCAGTGATCGTCATAACTTTCACTTTGGATCCATCCTAAAAATAACAGGACTGCAGTACAGAGACTTCATTCATATCAGTTTTCATAACAAGGTAAACAATCTGGAGAGGCATTCAGCAAAAAAATTTAGTGATTAATTCAGTGAAAGCAAGGGGTGAAGTTTCTACTTTGCCTGCAGCATTTATAACGTGCAAGATGCAAAGCCAAATGACAACATTCAGTTCTGATTTTTTTTCTAATCTAAAGGAACAGCCACAAAACCATTGACATAAATCTGTCTCAGTATTGCAAAAAAGGCAATTATAGTAACTTGATAAGAAACTAATTCAGCCTCTTTCCATAATACAATAGAGAGCTCAGTAAGAGAGCTTTCAGAAGCTGAGAACAAATGCTTACTCTTATAAAAAGTCGATGTCTGTCCTGATTACATTTTTCCCTTCCAGATCTATGAGATCCCATTTTTTGTTGCTTTGGATCACAAAAAAGAAGCTATTGTGGTTGCCGTGAGAGGAACCTTGTCTTTTGAGGTATCATCCGTCTCATATAAATAATTAGCTGTATAGAAATGGGTGAACTCCTAGTACCTAGAGGAGACTGTGTTACGCTGGCACGTGTGAAAATAACTCACTCGCAGGTATGAGTCTTCCAGGCTTAAGTTGTAAGCCCTCCTGTCCTGGGATGGGGATATCCCCTGTGCCACTGGAAGAGAGTGTGGAGGGCGGGCAGTGCTAATTCCTTTTCTCTGTAAGTGGAGGTGCATTTGTAATGTGTGTGTTTGCGGCTTGGAAATTGTTGCTGAAATCAGAATTATGATTGCTCTCTCTGTTTGCGTGGGTGGTGGTTTGTGGTGGGTTGTGTTTTGTTGCTTACACACTTGGAAGTCAGCTCGTTGACGTCCCTGTGACAAAGCTGAGTAGCAGAGCATGACCCATGAGCCAGGAAGCCCTGCAGAGAGGTCTGACAACAGCTGTCTTCTTTACAGGACATTCTCACCGATCTGTCAGCAGATTGTGAAGACTTGACACTGGAGGATATTCTAGAGAATGGCTTTGTGCATAAGGTGTGTGCAGGCTGTAGCTGTTTATAAATCCTCTCAGCGGTAGGAAAACTATAAACACCCGGGATCCTTTAGTTCGACAGAAGAGTATTCTCCTTGTGAGATGGATTGACAAATTATTTCGGTGTGTGACTTGCTTGTTGCATCAAATACTGCCTCTGGATCTGCAAGGTAGAATTTGTAATCCTCTTCTCAGACTTTTATGTCCTTACTAAATATTATAAAAACGTTTTAACCATTATGTACTAGACCACTTGGTTCTAACTAGACTCTGTCAGGAGCATGTTAAAAGAAAAGATCAGCTTTGCAAAAAGGAAGTTGTTCTGTGATGGTGTTGTGTTTAAAGTATATGTGTCACACTTCAGATGAGATACTCCCTTCTCTTCTAACTTTAAATGGTGTTTTGTAGGGAATAACTCAAGCTGCAAATTACATCTATCAAAAGCTGATAAATGATGGAATTTTAAACCAGGCTTTCACAATTGCTCCAGTAAGTTACCTTCCAAATAATTTGGTTTGCCAGAAAAACTGCACAAAGCTTTTTCTGTGTCTGTCTGTTTCAGTCTTCTCTTTCTGACCATAGGAATACAAACTTGTGATAGTTGGTCACAGTTTGGGTGGTGGAACAGCTTCTTACGCCTTTTCTCCTCCGGGAGGACTTTTAAGGTAAATATGAGACTTCTGTTATTTGGTTTTGTGCCTAAGATGTAAAAATCTTCAAGGTAGTTTACAAATACATTAGGTGGTAACCCTGGGCTTGACTGTGCTAGGAGCTTGTTTATACATTCTCCCCTAGAATTAGATTTGCTCCATCTCAAGTTACAGTCGAGTTCTTGGGGGAATGTTACAGAATGAAATATATGTAGTGAATTCTGTCAGATAGCATAATTAGATTTTAAAATAAATGTTTCAGAAGTAAAATGCTCACCCGACTAGTCTAGCTTGGCCTGTTTGACATTTACACATACCGTTATAATCAGCATTGAAATTAATTTTCTCATCTGTAGCAAGTAGGTCTGAAACCCTACTGAAGAGCTGACTGCAAGTGCTGCTGCTGTGGCCACATATTTGTATTTTTATTGAATGATAATGATCATCATAAAACTCAAGTGTGCCTGTCTCTTTGGTGTATCTAAAGGGCGTCTGTCTGTTTCTTTCTTAAGCAAATCACTTGCAGATTACACTAAGCACTTCATTGTTTCCATCATTGTTGGAAAGGACCTTGTTGCAAGGTGAGCTGGAATATTTTTAAATTGTTCTTTCAGGGATGTGTTAGATTGCAGAGAACAGGCAGCTTTGCTTTACTTTCTTCTCTGTGTGTTTAAACAGGTTAAGTATGCCCAACATGGAGGATTTAAAGAGGAGAATACTGAGAATTGTGGCAAACTGCAACAGGCCCAAGGTAACTAAACGCGGTTCCTGATTAGAAGTCAGTGGAATTGTTGCTGGGCTAAGCCTCAGCTTTAATGAAGTGACAATTGCTGTGTGTGTTTTGATCTTGATGATGAGAGTTGCAATTGTCTTTTGGAACAAAAATGTTTGGTTTTAATTCAGCAATACTTGTGTTAGTCTCTTACCCTATAAAGCTGTCTTGTTGGAAATTAAGATTCAACAAGACCTAGAAGATACCCGTGCACAACATCCAAGACCTGAAATGATCTGTTTGCTAGTTTTTCTGATGAAGGAAACTATTAAAAAATGAAAGAAAAAAAAATCAAATATCAAAACAAACGAGCTAAAGCCATGAAAAATCAGTAAGACTACTTACTTTAATAACCGTTTAGTATCAGTAAGTAAACAAATTAGTGGTTTTGTTTAGATTTTACCTTCAGAATTCATTTGGAAAGCAAATATTTCTCTGTTACGGTGTTAATTGCTTAGCTCTTCTTTTTACTGTTAATGAGAAACACAGGTTTGAAAGTGCTGGAACAGTGTGGGTCAGGCAAGATCATACTGGCGGTATAAAGGAGTGGCTTAGAGATTCAGACCTGCCCTGTCTGAACATCTGAAGTTAAATCTGCTGTACTTACAAGATTTCCATGTAGTGCCAGGATCAGGAGTCATGTAGAGGGCTGGGTGACATTGTACATACTGAGTAAGATAACAGACAGTTAGAAGTTACAGGTGCAGGAAAACTTAAATCTGCAGAGCTGAATCCACACAGAATAATTCACCTGGAAAGATTGTAATGTTTTCTGTAGCATTACTACTGGCTTGGGCTAGATATCGGTGAAATAGATACTACTTTGGGGAAAATTCGGTAAGGAGATTTTATCACAAAGTTTGGGGAGCGTGTGCATACAGTCATTTTTGATCTCTTAATTGTAGTTCCACATGATGTGCATGCAAGCACACAACTAAAATAAGGTACCTGAAGAGATGCCAAGCCTTAATTCGACTGTTTTTTCTTTCTGAATTCAGTACCAGATTTTGCTGCGTGGGTGTTGGTACGAAGTATTTGGAGGAGATCCAGATAACTTCCCAACTGAGCTGGATGGTAGGAACCAAGATGCCCTCACCCAGCCACTTCTGGCCGAGGAGAGTTTAATGGTTCATCGGTCACCTTCGTACAATGCCCTTGAGGATGAATCACGCTTAAATTCACCGCCTCAGTATCCTCACCTGTATCTTCCTGGAAAGATTATCCATATTGTAGAAGAATCCAGCTCTAGGAGGTGAGTAGAATAATTAATACTTGTTGCCTTGTTTTCCTAAAATCTACTTAAAACTGCCTCTCGCTTTCGAAGTACGTGTTTCCCGCTCTGCTTCTTATCTGCGTCTCCAATACCCATCTTTGGTTATTACGCATTTGCCAGCTTTTCAGTTTTTATTCTGTGCCTCTCTGCTTCTTTCTGTTTCACTTAAAGCCCTGGAAACTGTTTCGCTTTCCCCTTGGGTGCCTTATTCTGCCCATTGCATGTGCTCAAGTGACGATTTTAAACAGCAAGCTCAGCTTTGGCATGCTGCAGTTCCTACCTGAGGCTGCAGATCCTGCACTCTTATCTCCTGGTAGGGGTGAGGTGATAACAAAATACCAAGTTAGTGAGTAGTCACGTGGATACTGGTGGTGAGAAAGGTAAAATACTGCCTGTAATACCGGCCTGGCCAGACTGGAGCGGTCCAGTTGCACCAGTAACCAGCGTGCCCACACAGCCTCTGGTTTCCTGTCCTTTGCTGCTTTTTTGTGGACGCAGGGAACTGAGACAAAGACAACAGAAAAGCTGAAACTGCTGGAAGGGCGAGGATTGTGGTTTTGTTGGGGCAATGTTGTGTTTAGGGGGTTGTGTGTGTTTGTGTTTTGTTGATGTTGGGATTTTTAGATGAAACAACCGGAAAGAGCTGAGAGGTTAGGCAGTGCTGATACCCTCCCTCCTTTCACTCTGAGAGGGAAATCAGAGCATCTGTAATTTGCACAAGACCATCTTACAGAAGAAAAAAAAGGTCTGTACCTTACAGAAGACGGAAAAAAAAGGGCTAGAGAAGAAATTTTACTTGAGCGTCACATTTTTAATGTGTAAGGATTTTAACACTGGTTTTACCAGTCAGATACAGCTGTGACCTAGCAGGTTTTCTCGATGGCTGCTCTTTTACTTTACTTTCTGGAGTTCCTTTCTTTTCCGTCTTTTACTCCACAGCACAGCAGTTAGTTAATCATGACTTTTTTCCTTAATTGCCCTAGCACACAAGAGACTGTTCTGTAAAAGGAAATCTTAAATACATCACATGTGCAGCATTAACTCTGGTGTCCAGTCTCCTACTGGTACCGCTGTGCCTGGTTCCCTAAATCTGACCTTACCCGTGTGACGTGCGGTGCTGCCCCCCCTCACCCCCTTTGCTCAGACTGTACGCCACGTTGCTGTGAGCAGGATTGTGTGAGGGCTGCTTTTGCTGCTCAGGCGCAGTCTAATTTGGCGTAGCTCTGCCTTCAGGGACATCGAGTGTTTCCTGAGGGCAGCACTGGCGCTCCCTGGGAGCCCCTTCCTGCCCTGAGAAGGCCCCAAGGTTGTCTGTTCCAGGCTTGGCACCGGGCACCGCTTCTCAGGGTCTGAGCTGTTTGGGGTTTTGGTTTTTTTTTCAGGTTGTGCTCTTCAGATATTAAATACAATGCAAGATGGTCAAACGAAACAGTCTTCAGCAGCATTTTGATAAGCCCCAAGATGGTAACAGACCACATGCCCGATGTTGTGCTCAAAGCACTGAACAGTTTGTCTCAAGAACACGGATCTTGTCTGTCTTGCCCAGCACGGGAATGTAACACCAGCGTAGCACAACCATAGCGCTAAGAAGAGGTGTGTGGGGTTTGGTTTTTGGTGTTTTTTTTAAATGCAGGGTTCAAGCGTTCCGGACACAGTCATGCCACTGTCATAGGGAAGTGGGTTTCACTTTTCTCACGTTGCATAAAATAAACAAGGGTCCTGACGCCCTTGCCTCTGCAGCGCCCACGAGTACCATTTTGCTGGTTAAAGCACGGATTCTGCATTCATGCTGAAGGTTGAGCTTCTGCAAAATGGACCGGTAGGACAAGATCTAGCCAAGCTGGCGCAGGAGAGCCGAGGCGTCAGCTGACTGCGTGACCAAAGTGAGTGTGTGTGGGGGCAGCGGGGCCTGCGCGTTACAGCAGAGCGCTGTCAGACCTTAAACAAATAATAATAAAAAAAAAGCAGTTCTGCTTCCGAGGCATTTCAGGCCATGGGCTCAGGCCCCCCATCCCCCGACCTTTGCACGGTGACCACGTGCTGCGGTGTGCAAGGGCTGCACCGGCTTCACAGCTGGAGGGGGGGAAGCCGGGGGCTGCCTGGGCCCACTCGTACTGGGCAGCCCTGAGCGATTGCACTGATTTTTTTTCTTACAGCCTGCAGTGGTACCCCCAGGGCAGGGGGAGCGGTGTGGGTAAATGCTGCTTGGAGATACACGTGCAATATTCTTCAATCTACCTGGCTTTTGTATTTGTTGAGCCACATGACTACTTTTATTGATTTTAAACTGAACTAAAACTGCTTTATGAGGAGGAAAAAAAAAAAAACCAAACCACTGTTGCTGCCCTGTCATCATCTTGGTCCCTAGAGCAGCCATCCCAATTCTGCCAAAAAAAAAAAAAATATAACCAGTTGTACTGACTTTAAAAAGTGGATTCTTTGGTTCAACTGTGCAACTATTTTAACTTTTTTTTTTTAAGGCTCAGCAGCATTTCTTGTTAAAAAAAATGATAGAAATAAGTAAAAGTAATATGATGTGATTGAGAATAACTGTGGATGTCCTTGCTGTGATACTTACCATGGAGACAAAATAAAATGTGCTCTACAAGGCGGTCCTGTGGTGTCCAGGTATGCTGGAGGGGGAGGGACGTCGCTGGTTTACAGCTGCTGAAATTGCTGGCAGCTGCAGGGCAAGGGGAAGGCTGCAGCAAGCATGAAGGCCCAGCACCTGTCCCTCCTCAAGCAGGCAGCAGTGGCACAGCTGTGAATTTAAGGGGCTAAAATCTAAGGTGCTTACACACAAAGCCATCATTTTATAAACCGTTACAGTAACAGGTTTAGAGGAAAAATGCTTTTGTTTGCATGCAGTAGAGTGAAACAGGTGCTTCTTCCCCCCCCGCTGTCAGCAGCAGGCGCAAGAACAAATGCTGCTGCTCGCTGAGCACTCGGGCGGCGTGGTACAGGAAGGAGAACACTTGCTCAGAAACTCAAACGTTACCACACACGTGATTCAAGGATTTATTAAGTCATACATGCAAAACATACTGCTAATTGCATTAGCAAAAGATCAATGTAAAAACTTCACAATTTTGCAACTTTTATTTTTCAGTTTTGCTTTAGTGGTTGAAAGGGTGTAGTTCAACATCGTATTCCTGCCAGTTCAGGCTGTACAGAACATGAGCACTAATTTACAGAACCTCACAGACCCAAGTTACCATTACTCAATCTATGCTGCACATGTACACGTAGTGACATAAAGAACTCTTGTCTGCATTAGTAACATTACAGTGGTGAGGACATCTGGCAAATAGTGTGACGTTTGAGAAGGTTCATAGAGAGGTTTAAAATATAAAAATTACTAAAATGTGTAAAGCTGCTTCACATGATTTTTACACCTAGTTAATAGACTAAAAGCTCAGAAAGCAAATGCCTTACGGGGTCAGAAATAACAGAACAATAAGGAGGATATGCTTGAACATTCTACTCAAAAAAAAAAAAAGCAAATTTCTATCTGAAAGGTTTTAAAATACAAGTTATATTGCTCAATAAGAAGAGATTCTACAAGAAAAGCGTTTACTACACAAGAGTTGTGGGAATGACTGGTTCAGAACTGTACCTACAT